GGGAGCTATTTTTGAACTGCTTTTTGTTAAAAGGAAAGTTTTCTGCTGGAGACTCACTTTACCCTAAATGTCTACCTAAATAATTTATTTTTGCCTTCTATAACACTAGAAGTGTCTTCCAGCATGCTACCCTCCAGTTAGCTCCCTGGGGGCCACCACCTTCATGCTGGGTAGGTACAGTGATTCTATGTGCACCACAAGCTACCTGGCCTAGCCTCTGCCCCCAAGACCTTGTCTCAGTGAACTTTTGGCCAGAGAAGTATCCCCTGGTTCTTAGCTGCTATTTAGAATCTCCTTGAGATTAGGGTGAAAACACTTGACCATGAGACCATCTTTCTATCCAAAAAGAGTTCATTTTACTCAGCCTCAAGGTTGCTAACAGTAACAACAACAGTAGCAATAATAGCAAATGTTTATTAAGCTCTGCTATGCGTCAGACATAGAGATAGATGCTTTCCATGGGTTATCTGTTTTAATCCTGACAGCAGCTTGTTTTACTGTTGAGAAGGTAAAGTATAGTGACTGAAGTTGGCTAACTTGCCCATGGTCCCAGAACTACTAAGTGGTATATTCAGGATTCTAGGTAATTCCTAGAACATTTTCCTTTCATCTTTGCATGATCAGCTGCCTCATGTCTGATTCCCGAGCTGGAGTTTAAGCCACTGTTCTATGCTGCTGCCCATCTCTGAAGAGAACATTGTCCTGAATCTATGTATCTTCTTCTTTTCCCTTTTTCATAAACAGAGAAAAGTACAGGACCCACCTTTTTTTCAGTTTATCCTAATTCTTTGGTATATTACAAGGACACCATAATTCAAAATGTAGCCCAGGTCACATTCAGAATTATCAACATAAAGGGTGAGGAGGCATTTGGCACAACCACCCTTTTTCAGTGCCTGTTATGTGTGGGCCAATGCAAGGCAGACTGTTGGAGGAGACAAAGATTATAATCCCTAGTTCTTGTGTTCAAATAGTCTATGAATGCTAGCACAGCTAAGGCATGCACAGAAATAACTATGATTAATTCATAATATAACAGTAACAGGAGGGGCACAAATAAGATCCCACTGGGGTTCAGAGAGAAGATATCATGTTTCACTTGGGGGCAGTGGGCAAAGCTTCTTGGAGGATGTAGAAGTTAAAATGAACCTTGGGAGATGATTGAATTTCTGTAAACAGAGTTAAGAGACAAGGTGTTTCGATTAATGGAATGGCATGTGCTGAGGTCTAGGGGAGTCATGGTAAATACACAGAAAAGTGTCTTGCAGCAGTGAAGTGGCCTCGTCTGGGGTGGCACCCAAGGTTTGTTGTCTCATGACCACAGATATCAAGGATGTGGACACACAAAGAGTGAGGTTAAGAGCGGAAGTTTAATAGGGAAAAGAAAGAGACTAGCTGTCTGCTACAGAAAGGGATTCCAGAAAAATGGGTTGCCAATTCACAGTGAAATGCAGAGGCTGGGGATGGGGAGGGCTGATGTCTGATCTACACAGGGCACCAAAAAACAGTTAGAAACAGGTGGGCTATCTGCATAGGGCACGAATCTCTGGCAGCCACTACCCCAGTCTTTTATTATGCAGGTGGGTTTTCAGCCTGAGCTGTACTTTCTTACATTTCTTTCTTACTATACACATGCTAACAAAAAAGGGAAGATGAAGTTTCTATGGTGGACATGCCTGGCCCCCAGGTAGCCCTTTTCTATTGGCACAGTGGTCAGCATTCCCTTGTGCAAGCTTTCAGTTTCCTTATCTACATTTGTAGCTTGATCTTTCAGGCGTCTCTTTGTTAGAAAAAAAAAAAAAAAAGATTTTGGGGGCTGCTTTTTGTTAGAAGGGAAGTTCTGCCAAGGACTCTTTTGCCCTCACTATCTGTTTTTTTTTTTTTTTTTTTTTTTTTCACTTTTGAGATGGAGCCTCGCTCTGCCACCCAGGCTGTGGAATGCACTGGCATGATCTCGGCTCACTGCAACCTCCACCTCGCGGGTTCAAGTGATTCTCATGCCTGTGCCTCCCGAGTAGCTGGAATTACAGGCCCCCACCACCATACCCAGCTAACTTTTATATTTTTAATAAGAGACAGGGTTTTACCATGTTGGCCAGGCTGGTCTTGAACTCCTGACCTCAAGTGATCCACCCACCTCAGCCTCCCAAAGTGCTGGGATTACAGGCATGAGCCCCCACACCCGGCCTGCCCTCACTATCTGCCTAAACAATTTCTTTCTATCTCCTGTATCAGCAGGAGGTACTTGCAAAGCAGGAGCTTTCTGAGAAAGCAGGTACCAGAAGGAGGTTCTAGGGGTGCTACTGAGAAAGCCACCAATAAGAATCACAGACAGGGGGGTATGTCCCACAGGCACTGGCTGGGAAACAACATATACCAGAATCATGATGCTAAATGGAGGGGGTTAAGGAGACATATAAACCAATAGACTGGTAATGAAAGAGGTCAGGAGCATGGAGTGCAGCACAGTTGGGTAAAGCACAATATTTCAAGAGCTGAGTCTGTGAATTTGGCTGCCTAGTGTCCTTTTATGTGGCTATTTACAATAGTGAATGGGACATTATAGAAAGTCTCAAATGTCAGGCTGCTGTGCCTAAAGTAAATCCAGTAGATGATAGGGAGCCATTGTGTATTTCTGAGCAGGGGAGGGACATTGTGAGTTTTTCTTTTTACACAAATGAATCTGGCAAGACTCTGGGAAGACCAATCAGGAGTTAAGAATACTCGTTAGCAGACATCTGCACTTGTCTAAGAAGAAACCCTGAAATCTTGAATTGGAGTGGTTATGGTAGGAAATAAAAAGAGAGAAAGAATGCAAAAGAGAGTGTAAAGCAACATTTTTCATGACAGTGGACTTGAATATAGAGGAAAGGAGAGGGTGAAAAAATCAAAGCTATTGGCTGGGTGCAGTGGCTCACACCTGTAATCCCAGCACTTTGGGAGGCCTAGGTGGGCAGATCACGAGGTCAAGAGATCGAGACCATCCTGGCCAACAAGGTGAAACCCCATCTCTACTAAAAGCACACAATTTAGCTAGGCGTGGTGGCACTAGGGAGGCTGAGGCAGGAGAATCGCTTGAACCCGGGAGGCGGAGGTTGCAGTGAACTGAGATGGTGCCACTGCACTCCAGCCTGGGCAACAGAGCAAGACTCCGTCTCAAAAAAAAAAAAAAAAAAAAAAAAATCAAGTCTATTTTGAGAATTTCAGCTTGGCTTGACTGGGGAGAAGAGTGATCCCTTTCAAAGAAACAGGGAGAGAACAAAAGGTAGTGAACCCTCTCTGCCCCCTCCACACCACCTCCTAGCTGAGAGTGCTAAGGGAGAAACTGATTGTTGTATGGATTGTCCTCTCCTTTTTAAAAATAGGAACACGGCTGGACATAGTGGCTCATGCCTGTAATCTCAGCATTTTGGGAGGTTGAGGCAGGTGGATCACCTGAGGTCAGGAATTCAAGACCAGCCTGGCCAACATGGTGAAACCCCATCTCTACTAAAAAATGCAAAAAAAAAAAAATTAGCCAGGCGTGGTGGTGGGCACCTGTAATCCCAGCTACTAGGGCAGCTGAGGCAGGAGAATTGCTTGAACCTGGGAGGTGGAGGGAGTGAGCCAAGATTGTGCCACTGCACTCCAGCCTGGGTGACGAGCGAAACTCCATCTCAAAAAAAAAAAAAAAAAAAGGAACAGAAAGTAGGTCCCCAAGGTATGTAAACTTAAAGTTCTATAGCTTCCTCCCCACAACTCACATCTTATCTCTAATCTTGCCAAGGATAACTAAGGTGAGGCTGTATTTTTTCACTTCTCCCTGAAATATTTTCAGTAGAATCACTTCTGAAACCTATCCCAACCCCCCATACAGCATAAACAACGAGGAAACAGAAGATTCACCAAACATTTATGAACATCCAGCTGTTATAAAGATAAGGGACCAATTTGAAAAATCAGAATAAAGTCTCTTTGTAAAAGCTGCTGCAAGAAACAGGCAAGCAAAACTTAGAACATTTTTAATTTGTAATTTTTGCTTAAAGTTTTGGTAAGATGTTGTATCATGGTAATTTGTCAGCAGTTCTAAAAGGGAACCATTTGTGTTCAGGAAAGATAGCTTAGAAGTGAAAAACATAGTTCCAGATTTTAAAACATAGTGAATGTAGTTACAGCCAATTTAAACTCTGCAAAATGCCAAATTGGTGAATTAAAAGACAAGTTTGAATTGTTTCAAAACTCAGAGGAGATGATAAAGAGATAAAAACAAAGAAAAGGCAAGAATATGGAAGAGAGAGATAGGAGATTCAAAAGACATGAAAAGAATTCTAGAGGAGATGACTGGGCACGATGTCTCACACCTGTAACCCCAGCACTTTGGGAGGCCGAGGTGGGCAGATCATTTGAGGTCAGGAGTTCAAGACCAGCCTGGTCAACATAGTGAAACCCTGTCTCTACTAAAAATACAAAAATTAGCTGGGGGTGGTGGCACAGCTCTGTAATCCCAGCTACTCAGGAGGCTGAGGCAGGAGAATCACTTGAAGCCAGGAGGCAGAGGTTGCAGTGAACTGAGATCGCGCCACTGCGCTCCAGCCTGGGCGACAGAGCAAGACATCCTCTCAAAGAAAAAAAAAAAACAATTCTAGAGGAGAGGAAGAATAATTACTCCAGCCAACATTTATTAAATGTTTAGTAAGTGCTAGGCATTTAATTATATTGTTTAACACTTGCAGCAACCTATCGAAGGAAATCACTGTCATCATTCACATTTCCAGATAAGGAAACTAACTAATGTTTAGAAAGTTAACCATTTTGTTCAGTAGTAAACAGCCAATTAAAGGAGAGGCTAAGTTCCAAACCTAGCATCTGTTTCCCAAAAAGTAGAAAACCCTCTGAATAAGGGCCTCTTTTCTTAGAAAGCCCTCTGCGTGTGTTTGGGTAACTCCAGTGTCCGCAGAGGAACCCGCTTTCTCATTCCTCTCTCCAATCACACTCACCCGCTGTCTCCGTTCTGTCCCCAGGCACCGATGAAGACGCCATTATTAGCGTCCTTGCCTACCGCAACACCGCCCAGCGCCAGGAGATCAGGACGGCCTACAAGAGCACCATTGGCAGGGTAGGCCACAGTCTTTCCTGCTCTGTCTGGCTGACTTGGCAGCAACAGGAAGCAGGGCCTCTTCCTGATCTAGGATCCTGAAGTGACCCTGTGTTTTAAAAGATCGATCCTTTGTCTTGTTTAAAGATGTTCTCGAGGCCAGGTGTGGTGGTTCACACCTGTAATCCCAGCACTTTGGGAGGCCAAGGCAGGCTGGTCACTTGAGGCCAGGAGTTTGAGACCAACCTGGACAATATGGTGAAACCCCATCTCTACTTAAAAATACAAAAATTAGCTGGTCATGGTGCCAGGCACCTGTAATCCCAGCTACTTTGTAGGCTGAGGCAGGAGAATTGCTTGAACCCAGGAGGTGGAGGTTGCAGTGAGCCAAGATCATGTCACTGCACTCCAGCCTGGGCAACAGAGCAAGACTCCATCTGAAGAAAAAAAAAAAGAAGAATAACGATTAAGATCCTTCTTAGTCAATTGATCTTAAACAGGTTCTTAAACTCTCTGACCTGTTCCAGGAGGAAATGTGAATAAACATCTTTAGAATTTGGTCCATTTTCCAAATAATTATATTTGGAAATTATATCTTAGGAATTGAGCCTTACGAAATAATCATGAATGATCACAAAGATACAACTAAATGCCTTATGTATATAACAATAGAAAAATAGAAACAGATGACTAGTTAAAGAAATTAGGCCAGGTGGGTGGCTCACACCTGTAATCCTAGCACTTTGGGAGGCCAAGGTGAGTGGATCACCTGAGGTCAGGAGTTTGAGACCAGCCTGACCAACATGGTGGAACCCCATCTCTACTAAAAATACCAAAAAATTAGCTGGGTGTGGTGGCAGGTGCCTGTAATCCCAGCTACTTGGGAGGCTGAGGCGGGAGAATTGCTTGAACCCAGGGGGCAGAGGCTGCAGCGAGTCGAGATTGTGCCACTGCATTCTAGCCTTGGCAACAGAGCGAGACTCCATCTAAAAAAAAAAAAAAAAAAAAAAAAAAGCGATTCAGCTGCTTCTTAGTTGATCTTAAACAGGTTCTTAAACTCTCTGACCCGTTCTAGGAGGAAATGTGAATAAACATCTTTAGAATTCGGTCCATTTTCCAAATAATTATATTTGGAAATTATATCTTAGGAATTGAGCCTTACGAAATAATCATGAATGATCACAAAGATACAACTAAATGCCTTATGTATATAACAGTAGAAAAATAGAAACAGATGACTAGTTAAAGAAATTAGGCCAGGTGGGTGGCTCACACCTGTAATCCTAGCACTTTGGGAGGCCAAGACAAGTGAGGTCGAGATTGCGCCACTGCACTCCAGCCTGGGCAACAGAGCGAGACTCCGTCTCAAAAAAAAGAAAAAAAAAGAAAAAGAAATGATATTGTACCTACCTATAGAAATCTCCACAGCTGCTAAAAAGGTTATCAGTGAATACTGACTTGGAAATATATTCAAGACATATTGTTAAGTAGGCAAGTACATTTACATCGGTGTCTACAAGCATATTAACCTCAAGGCTCCTTTACCTCTTAAATTTTTTAGGACTTTTGGTTTTGTGGGTTCTATCTTTTGATATTTGCCCTATTAGAAACTAAAACTGAGGGCATTTAAAGATAGATATTTGTTAACTTAGTAAAAAGAATAAGTGTATTGTATGTTACTATAAATAACATTTTAATGAAAAAATAGCTATATATCCCAGAACAAAAAAATTTAGTGAGAAGACTGGCATCGTTTTACATTTGCAGATCTCTTTAATGTCTGGCTTAATGGAAGACAGATGGCTTCTCATATCCATTTCTACTTCAATTTGTTATGATATATTGTTTGGGTTGAGGTATATGAAGAAAATCTGGTCTTATACAGATATGTACTTGAAAATGGGGGGAGTATTTGAACAGTTGTTGATGCACAATGTCAAATAGCCTTAGGAAAACCCCACTGTATGCTTGTGGAAGAATGACAGTGAAAAGGCAAATAACATCTGAGTGTTATTCCGAGGATAGGTTTGACTTGCAGGCTCCTTGAAAGGGTCTTGGAGACCCTAGACATCCCTGGACCACACTGGAGAGTGGCTGGTCTCATTTGCTGTCGCAATTAAGTGGAGCTACTTTCTTGCATTGCAGGACTTGATAGACGACCTGAAGTCAGAACTGAGTGGCAATTTCGAGCAGGTGATTGTGGGGATGATGACGCCCACGGTGCTGTATGACGTGCAAGAGCTGCGAAGGGCCATGAAGGTCTGTGCTCTTCCTCTTGTGCTCTTGGTGCTGCTGATGCAAATGCTGATGTGCTTTCTTAAGAGACTGTCACCCAATAACAAAGACATGGAAGCAACCTAAATGCCCATCAATAGTAGACTGGATAAAGAAAATGTGGTACATGTACACTGTGGAATAGCTGTAAAAAGGAACAAGATCATGTCCTTTGGAGAAACATGGATGGAGCTGGGGGTCATTATCCTTAGCAAACTAAGGCAGGAATAGAAAATCAAATACCGTATGTTTTCACTCACAAGTGGGAGCTAAATGAGGAAAACACATGGACACATAGAGGGGAGCAACACACACTGGGGCCTGTTAGAGGATGGAGGGTGGGAGGAGGGAGAGGATCAGGAAAAATAACTAATGGGTACTAGGCTTAATACCTGGGTAATGAAATAATCTGTACAACAACCCCCATGACACAAGTTTATCTATATAGCAAAACTGCACATGTACCCCTGAACTTAAAGTAAAAGTTAAATTTTTTTAAAAAAAAAGAAACTATGACCAAGGCCTTCTGAGAATGGCAGGTGTAAAGTATAGGAGATTTTCCTTCATTTATGACAACTTGAAAACAACATTACATTATACCAATGATCATTTAAAAATTCTTTTCCAAAAAGGGCATCACTTGCTCCTTCCTGTGGCTCAATGGGGAGTGATTATAATTGTGGCTTTTAGTACAGCTCTAGCGACTTCGTGGTCATGTTAACTACTTTTGAGATATGTAACTTTATGACTGACACCTTGGGGCCTCCAGGTCTACTATAGACTTAGAACTGGCGAAAGAGTTCTTGGCTTCCCTAGATGACCTACCCACTGTGCCCTAGCCGGGGTCTGCCGAATTTTAATGACCAAGTATATAATGCAAATACAAATGGTCCCCAGCTTAGGATGGCTCTACTTAAAAATTTTCAGTATATTGTACGCCTCATCATAAGTCGAGGAGTACAGTTATCCTCCTCAACCAGGTCAATAAATACTCAGACTTGTGGAAGGTTCTGGGCCAGGCTCTGGGAAAGCAAAGAGGTGACAAAGTCTTTGCCAGAAAATTCTGCCCTTCAGAGGAAGACAGTAGAAGAGGTCAAGGAAAAATTAAGTTCCCAGAGGGCAGAAACTGTACCTATCCTGGAGTAACCAACACATAGTAAACAGCCTAGAAATGTTTGTTATTACTCATAATTATTATGACAAACACTTTGGGTTTCAGGCAGGACAATAAAAGTGAACAAATCCTGTTGCTAGAACACAGTGGATTGTCTTTATTCTCTGCAGATTCATGGCTGTATTCCTTCTGTGTCTGGGCCTCAGCTTTGTAAACTGGCTCATATAGCCCTGTCCTCTGGTTTCTTGTTTAGGGAGCTGGCACTGATGAGGGCTGCCTAATTGAGATCCTGGCCTCCCGGACCCCTGAGGAGATCCAGCGCATAAGCCAAACCTACCAGCAGCGTACGTGACATCCGCAGTGGCCCTGGCTGAGGTTTCGCTGTGATGAGAGAATGAGGGTAGCAGCGGGTGGTTGTCTGCTGATGAGACTTTTCATAGAATGCTGTGCATGAGGGATCCTTGGTGCCAAGCTCTGCTTTGAGAGAGATCCCTGTTTAGGCAAATGGTGGTCTGTTGGCTTCTTAAGATTTCTCAGGTGAAGATGACACACTATTTTGCCTACCCAGTGCAGTATTTTATTACCCTAAAAGTTGGAAAGTTGTTCCTTATTATCAGACAAAGAATCTAAGGTACTTGTTCAAAAGTGGTGGCACCAGCAGATCTTAGCATTCCAAGGAATGGTCTGGAGGGGCTGTCTGGCCCATATTCTTCCCTTCAGACTGGACTGTATGTCCTCCAGCCAAATCAGAATGACAGCCATTCACTCCCTCTTAGAGCCCTCCAGAGGGTGATACATACGAAGTGCCTTTAAAAAATGCCTGCCTTTTTGCCCTGAGAATATGACTAAACATAAACGAAGGTTTAGATCTCACAGTGTTTATTCAGTGTTATCTACATTAGCTAAAAATGTCCAACAGTAGCAGAGTGTCTAAACAAAATACGATACACTTACACAATGAACTGTTATGTAGTCATTAAAACTTATATCAAAGAGTATTTTTTTTTCTTTTATTTAACCTTTTTTTTTTTGAGACAGGGTCTCACTCTGTTGCCCAGGCTGGAGTACAGTGGCCCCATCATAGCTCACTGCAGCCTCGACCTCCTGGGCTTCAGCAATCCACCCACTGCAGCCTTCTGAGTAGCTGGGACCACAAGCGTGTGCCACCACACCCAGCTAATTTTTGTATTTTTTGTAAAGATGGGGTTTCCCCATGGTGTCCAGGCTGGTCTTAAACTCCTGGGCCCAAGCAATCTGCCCACCTCAACCTCCCAAAGTGCTGGGATTACAGGTGTGAGCCACTGCACCTGGCCAACAATATTATTAAAATATTTATTAAATGGTGTAGTACCTATAAGTGAAAAAGACAAGCCATAAAATAGTATGCTATGATCCCATTTTTTAAAAATTAACACAGTTAATAACACATTATTTGTTAAATAAATGAAGATAATGTGTGTATATGGGGGAAAATGAGGAAGGATATTTACAGAAATGTTATCAATGATTATTATTTCTGGGTGACTAGATTGCAGTGGAGTTCCTCGCCTTGTCCCTTCATTTTACTTATTTGTTTTTTCCTAAGTCTTCTGTGGTCAGCATGTGTTACCTTTATAGAAAGAAAAACCACCACAATAAGAGCTTTGTGGGAAGTGTTCAGAGCAGGAGATTCTAAACCTTAGGAGTCTGGATTTAGCAACCCAGTCCCCACATCTGCCCAATGAGGGTTTTCTTCCCTGAGGGCTATGAAGGGCTGGAGCTTCTCTTTTTGTTTTTGCTTTTTAAAAATTAATAATGAAGAAGTGATTTTTAATTTCTTGCTGAAGCCCCCCCCCCCTCCCGCCTTTTTTGTGACACAGGGTCTCACTCTGTGGCCCAGGCTGGAGTGCAGTGACATGATCATGGCTCACTGCAGCCTTGACCTCCCCAGGTTGAGGTGATCCTCCCACCTCAGCCTCCCCTGTAGCTGGGACTACAAGCATGCGCCAACATACCCAGCTAATTTTTGTATTTTTTGTAGAGATGGGGGTTCACCATGTTGCCCAGGCTGGTCTCGAACTCCTGGACTCAAGCAATCTGCCCTCCTCAGCTCCCAAAGTGTTAGGATTACAGGCATGAGCCACTGCGCTTGGCCATGGAGCTTCTCGTGGATAACCTGTCAGAACCTCCCAAGTGAGAGACGTGGCAGAAAGGCATATGCTAGGATTTGCCCTTGACGGTGCTCCGACCCCAGCCCCACCCCAAAGCTGGGTTCAGAAGCTCCTATGTGGTTGCCTTCCATCCGTGAAGCAGCAGGTTCTCTCTGCATCACTGAGAACCACATTCAGATCAGACCCCTGGGTAGCAGGAAGCACAGAGGGAGGATTTCAGCTCCAGCTTTTTCAACCCCACATTTTAAGAATTCGGAATATCTCGGCTGGGTACAGTGGCTTATGCCTGTAATCCCAGAACTTTGGGAGGCCAAGGCAGGTGGATCACCTGAGGTCAGGAGTTCAAGACCAGCCTGGCCAAAATGACAGAACCCCGTCTCTACTAAAAATACAAAAATTAGCCAGGCATGGTGGGGCACACCTGTAATCCCAGCTACTCAGGTGGCTGAGGCAGGAGAATTGCTTGAATCCAGGAGGCAGAGGTTGCAGTGAGCTGAGATGGTGCCACTGCACTTCAGACTCTTAACCTGGGCAATAGAATGAGTTTCCATCTCGAAAGAAACAAAACAAAAATAGGAATATCTTGTGACAGGATAAGCTTATCTTGACCATTTTACCAGAGTTTAGTTTTTGAAAAACTGTGTGTGGGGTGATAAGCTGCTTCCATAAGCAGGCTGGTCTTGAGGGGACAGAGTGCTCTGGAGTGTGACAGGGCATTGGGCAAGACTCTTTATTCTGATGTAGCTAATTTCACTCTCTTGCTAGAATATGGACGGAGCCTTGAAGATGACATTCGCTCTGACACATCGTTCATGTTCCAGCGAGTGCTGGTGTCTCTGTCAGCTGTGAGTGACTGCTTCTGATGGGGGGTGGGTTTTGTTGAAATGTCCACTCTATCCCCTTTGCCAGCCTTTCTCATCCTTTCAGTCCCTGACATGTGGATATTCCCCAGGTGCTGTTCTTGGACCCCTCTGTTCCTTTATCTTATTTCTCCTTCAGAGACTCTGGCTAATCCTTCATGCCCATTTGTTCTACTTTAATTTGATATTTACAAGTACCTAATACCTGCCAGGTCCCCCTGTCACTCGGTGCATTGAGAGTTATGAAGATGATTCAGAGGCAGTTCCTGGGCCTTAACAGTATATATTGTCATAAGGGAATACATCAGGTACACAAGTTGCTAGAAGGCATGAAAAGATTACATGCCAAAGGAGAGGCGCATAGGAAAAAGAAGATTCAAGGAGAAATTTTGATTGTAGAAACAAAGAAAGGCCTTCATGACAGAGATGCTGGTTCAGGAAGAACTTGGAGGATTACTAGAATTTCAAGAGGCAGAGACGTGGGTGGGTGTATTCCAGACAGGGAGAACGGCAAGAACAAGGCAGGGAACAGGGGGTTCAGGGAACAACTGACTGAACAGTTGGGCTGGTGATTCTGGAAACAGGGTGGGAGGATAAACTGGAATTCTATGTTGGGAGGAGTTTACACTTACTGATTTGGGAGCAGTAGATGACGTGATGATGACAATGATGATGGGAGTGATGTGACTGGAGCTGCACTTTCAGAATAGTAATGTAATAGTGACGTGTAGGATGAACAGTGGCGAGAACTGGAGGCTGGACGACCAGGAACGAAGCTACCTGGAAAATTCCAGCTGGAAAATAAAGCAGGACTGAGCTAGGTGGGGCAGGGGTGCCTGAAAAGGGAAGCTGGAGACTCGAGACATTTCACATCACTTCCCAACTGCATCTTTATCCCTGGCCTCCTTCCTGAGCGTAAGACTCTCATTTCACATTGCTTTTTAGATGTTTCCTTATGGATATTCTACTATCCCCTTAAACCAGTCCTCATGAACTAAACCGGAACTCATTTTCCCTTCAAACCAGCTCTTCTTCCTGACTTGTCTGTTTCTGTTAATGTTGCTGCTGTTCCTCCTACACTTAAAGAAACAGAACCCTGGAAATCATCTCCAATTTTCACATTGTTCTTGTCTCCAGTATTTACTTAGTAACACCTGCCTGTGTCTCATATTTCTTTCCCACTTTTTCTTTTCCTCCCATATTTACCACTCTGATGAGCCATGCCTAGACCATAGAGCATCAAGAGAGTATAACAATAAAAATAGCCTAAAAACTAGAGGAAATTAGCCCATTTTGTCACTTGTTAGCATTCTTCAGAGGCTTCCACCCTGCCTTCTTGTGAGCTGGTGTTGGTGAGGGGTAGGGGGACATGTTTATGGGATCCTCAAGTCCCACCATAGGTCCCATATTCTCTTGACTCTCCTCTGTTCCCAGTCTCCCCAGCTTTTATTTTTTTTTAAAGATACAAGGTCTTGCTGTGTTTCCCAGGCCAGCTATTCACAGGTGCCATCTTAGCTCAATGCCTTGAACTCCTGGCCTCAAGCCATCCTCCCACCTTAGCCTCTTGAGTAGCTGGAACTACAAGCACACCCAGACCCCCTTTTGGCGGAGGTTGATCAATGTAGATTTGCCAGTTAGGAAGGCATGAGTCAGCTGGGAAGACACAGGAGAGTGGGGTGTGGGTGAGGCCAGGAGATAGTGGAGGGAGCTGTCCCTGGGAAGCATTTATTCTCCTCCTTGTATTGGCAAAGGCACCCATGCAACGTTAGGGGCCACACTGAGCCTCAGCCCTCTAGGCACACATCAGAGCCATGGTAATAATGCGAGCACATTTCAAGGATGTCTGTCCTTCCTCCCTGGGTCTGAAGCCCCACTCCTCATGGTATTTTGTCTCATTACTCTAGACTTGCTATCTTAATGGTGTCCCCAGATCTTCATGTATATTCTCAAATTACTTTTTGTTTGTTTTTCTCATCCTCAGGGTGGGAGGGATGAAGGAAATTATCTGGACGATGCTCTCGTGAGACAGGATGCCCAGGTTGGTAGAACTGCAGCTTCTTTCTTCCAGTTTTCTTCTCTTTTGCCAATAAGACAGGCCTTAGTGGGTGGACAACATCTTATATTACAGTGTATATTAGCCAGGCTTGGATATGTTCTTTAAAAACATTCCCACAGATGGCCTTTAATAACAGGTTTCTCGTGGAGGTGCCTGGGGCTGGACATCATTATATAAGCACTCCTGGGTTCCAGGTTTCTCACCCTTAGGACCATCGTGTGGCAATCCCGGAGAACCACTGAGTGTCTTCTGAATGCCTTGGAGGTGAAAGGGACTGTTCACTGTGCTTTTTTCTTCATCAAAGAGGACATTTGATAGAACCTATATAAAATAGCCTGGCACAGTGTATACCCTGCTGGGTAAAATTAATAGGAAACCCCAAGAGGCATTTGCCTCTCTGTTTCCCAGCCCAGTGATGGTTGTCCTGGAACCAACCCATGGTCTAATCAGCTGTGGCCAGATAACACTAATAGCTAATAAAAAGTGGGTCACGGCCGGGCGCGGTGGCTCAAGCCTGTAATCCCAGCACTTTGGGAGGCCGAGACAGGCAGATCACAAGGTCAGGAGATCGAGACCATCCTGGCTAACACAGTGAAACCCCGTCTCTACTAAAAAAAATACAAAAAACTAGTCGGGCGAAGTGGCGGGCGCCTGTAGTCCCAGCTACTCGGGAGGCTGAGGTAGGAGAATGGCGTGAACCTGGGAGGCGGAGCTTGCAGTGAGCTGAGATCCAGCCACTGCACTCCAGCCTGGGCAACAGAGTGAGACTCCATCTCAAAAAAAAAAAAAAAAAGTGGGTCATTACCAGATACCAAACACTGTTCTAAATTTTTTTTTGAGATGGAATGTCACTCCTGTTGCCCAGGCTGGAGTGCAATGGCATGATCTTGGCTCACTGCAACGTCCGCCTCCTGGGTTCAAGCAATTCTCCTGCCTCAGCCTCCCAAATAGCTGGGATTACAGGTGCCTGCCACCATACCCGGCAAATTTTTTGTATTTTTAGTAGAGACAGGTTTTCACCATGTTGGCCAGGCTGGTCTTGAACTCCTGACCTCAGGTGATCCACCTGCCTCGGCCTCCCAAAGTGCTGGGATTACAGGCATGAACTATTGCAACCTGCCCACTGTTCTAAATTCTATATTAAGTATGTCATTGAATCTTTGCAATAACTTCATAAGTATTGCTATCCCCATTTTACAAGCAGGGAAACTGAGGCTCAGAGAGGTCAAGTACCTTGCTCAAGCTCAGACAGATAGTAAAGGACAGAGCTAGGATTTGAACCAATTGGCATCTAGACCCAGTATTCTCTCTCTCTCTTTTTTTTTTTTTTTGAGACAGGGTCTCACTGTCACCCAGACTGGAGTATGGTGGCATGATCTCAGCTAACCATAACCTCCCCCTCCCAGGTTCAAGCAATTCTCCCACCTCAGCCTCCCAAATAGCTGGGATCACAAGATGCGCCACCACCACCCAGCTAGTTTTTGTATTTTTAGTAGAGATAGGGTTTCAACATGTTGGCCAGGCTGGTCTTGAACTCTTACCTCAAATGATCCACCTGCCATGGCCTCCCAAAGTGCAGCGATTATAGGCATGAGCCACCGCGCCTGGCCATAGACCCAGTATTCTTAACCAATACATAACCATAATGAGGGATTGGTCCCATTCAGTGTGTGAGGTATGAACAACTTAGTTTTATGCAAAAGAGAACTTGTTGCTTTCATTAGAGGGGATAGAGGTCTGTGTGTGGCTTGGGCTTCTTGGAGCATAGCAACTGGGTTTCAAAAGGGAGCACCCAGAAAGCAAGCATTCTAATGGAACCAATGGCGGTTGCAGGATTGTTTATGATCTAGCCTCAGAAATCACAGTATCACTTTCACTAACCTGTATCTTATTTTTTATTTATTTATTTTTTTGAGATAGGTTCTTGCTCTGTCTCCCAGGCTGGTGTGCAGTGGCATAATCTTGGCCCACTGCAACCTTCACCTCCCAGGTTCAAGTGATCCTCCCGTCTCAGACTCCTGAGTAGCTGGACTACAGGCACATGCCAGCATGCCCGGCTAATTTTTAAATATTTTTTTGGTAGAGGTGGGGTTTTGCCATATTGCCCAGGCTGGTGTCAAACTCCTGGGCTCAAGCAATCTACCTGCCTTGGCCTCCCAACGTGCTATGATTACAGGCATGAGCCACCGTGCCCAGCCAACTACTATGCTTTATTAATTAAAGCAATGTATTAGTCAGAATTCTGCAGAGGAACAGAACCAATAGAGAGAGAGAGACAGAGAGACAGACACAGACACACACACACACACACACACACACACACACAGAGGGGGTATGTGTGTGGTGGGGGAGGGTGAAAGAGAGAGAGGATGGAGGTGGGCAAGTATCAGGATCTTCCGAGGGAGTCAGCAAGCTGGGGATGCAGGACAGCCATGATTTTGTTCCAGTCTGAGTCCAAAGGACTGACAACCAGGAGCAGTTCCCATCTGAAGGCCGGCAGGCTGGAAACCCATGAAGAACTGATGTTTCAGTTCACATCCAAAGGCAGGATAAAAACGGATGCCCTAGCTCAAGGCAGTCAGGCAGGAGGACTCCCTCTTACTCTTGGGAAGGTCAGCCCTTTTGTTCTTGAAAACAAAAGCTTTCAGCTGATTGTATGAGGGCCCCTCTTCCATATTGGATCATCCAAAAACCCTCACAGAAACACCCAGAATAATGTTTGAGCAAAAATCTGGGTAACCCATGGCCTGGTCAAGTTGACATAAAATAAATTGTCACAAGGCTGTTGAGATTCAAGTTTCAGAAGTGCTGAATAAGATGAACGTTTTTGAATTAGGTGAATGAGATGAACGCTTTCAGCTTAAATTTTTATGATTATGTGAATTGACTCTAAAGCAGTGAGGGAATCAGAGAAAGAAGTGAAAAAATGGGGGAGTATATGGAGGTAAGCCCAATGAGCAACAATATATGTGATTTAAGATCTTTTTGAGAAATGTAACAGGCCAGCTGCTTATTATAAATGAACAGTAATTCTGAATTTAGCGATAATGTAGTTAAATTGAGCAGAATCAGTTTCTTGTATTCCTACCTGGTTGGAATGTAAGCAATTGGCAATGGGTCCCTGGTTCTACTGTGAGACTGTCCTGTAACCTCAGGAAAATCACAGATCATTCTAGAGCAGGGCTATCCAATAGAACTCCCCACAGTGATGAGAACATTCCACATCTGCACTGTCCTGTATGGGTGACTACTGGCCACCTGTAGCCGCTGGGTACTTGAAATGAGGCTAGTGTGACTGAAGAACTGAATTTTAAATTGTATTTAATTTTAATGAAAATTTAAACAGCCACATGTGGTTAGTGGCAACTGTAGGGGACAGCCCAAATCTAGGACATTTCTTTTAGCTCTTAGGATAGAACCATGTAGTCTGCAGCTAGGGAACTGCCAGTGTTTGCCTTGACTCCCAGGAAGGTATGACAGAGTCCCAACAGCCTTATGCCTGAGGAAGGGCCCTGAGTCATTTCCACTCACCACCACCATTTCCACCCCCATCACCAACAAAATAAAACTAATCTATCTCAGCTCTTTGAGCTTCTGGAAGTATTTGCCTGTGTCCTGGCACATCCTTTTTGGAGTTTTAGACTTGTGCTTTGTTTGGCTTCAGGACCTGTATGAGGCTGGAGAGAAGAAATGGGGGACAGACGAGGTAAAATTTCTAACTGTTCTCTGTTCCCGGAACCGAAATCACCTGTTGCATGGTAAGGCACTTCATTTCCCAAAGAAAGGGTGTGAAAGATAGCAAAAACTGTATTGCCCATAAGTAATTGATAACCTTTCTCCTTCAGTGGGTACAAAGAACTGATTGTACCCAAGTGTCTTAGATTCTTACCCTGGAAATGTATTAGTCCAATGACGTGTATGAAGGCTAATTTCTGAAAGATTAATTATGAATAATTAGCAAAAATGCATGTAGTCATAGAAGCTTGGCATTCTTGTTTCTAGGAAACTGACCTTCATAGTCAGTCGCTTTTCTAAAGTAGCCCCAGTATTTTCATTCTTATTTAGTTACATATGAAAGTAATCTGTAGTAGATCAGGTAGTAATAAAATAGCAATGTTGGTTGATATTTATTCCTGTGTACCATCCAAGCTGTAAAGCTAATACAAGTGATTTCTTTAGGGGTTACGTTGTATAAGATGAATAATGGATAATTTCAAATTTGAAATGTTTCTGATTTGTTTCTGATAAATATAAACTTTGTAATGTGATTTTAACTTATTTGGGGGAAAGACACTAGACAATTTTAGAATATTTGCTGTCAGGTTTATATTCTTTTAAACAGCAGTAAGGGTTTAATAAGATATTTCATCTTTTATACGAGTTCTTTAGATCTTTAAATACATTATAATTTTATAAACCCACCCACCATACCTTTTTAGTCACACACACTGATTTGCAAAGCCTGTGGGAAATTTGAGAATGAGTTTGTTAAATTGAAAACATAAAGCAATTGAGAAGTACAGCACATTCTGAAGTTGTAATTATTTCAGATTTTTCACAGTGACAAAAAACAGGTGATTACTCCTGTTAATCAATATCCTAGGCTACTATCAGAAACACAAACTTCTGACTCAGCTTCTTACTTCATTTCCTTCCCTTGCCTGGTTACAAATAATAGGAATCTCCCCCCTGGTGGTATTTTCGAAGAACTGCAGGTCCTCAGAAGCCGATTTAGTGCATAAATGCATTTGCAAGCATTTTCACTTCTGGGTGCAAGTCAATAGTTAGGCAATTATGAAATATCTGTAAGCCACCGGGAGAAAATATTTTAAGCACTGTTTGGGTTAGGAAAACTTCATAATTGTCTTACCAACCAACAATAATGGTGAGGTTTCATAATAACTATGGTTTTGTTAATAATTTTCTATTTTCTAGGTGCATTGTTAAGCATTTTATAAGCATTGTTTCTTGCAACACCCAGTGGAGCAGTAATTATTATCTCCATTTTACAGTGGAGAAAACTGAGGCTTAGAAATGTGTCAATTAAGTTCTTTGATTCCAAGCCACACACACTGACTTCAATTTAAGTAAGAAAATATGAAATAATATGGAATGGCACAAGAGGGAAAATGGAAAATACTGGTAGCTCACAGATTTATACAGAAAGCTGAACACCTTCAGGAAGAACAGCAGTCAAGGGAGTTTTGGGGGTCTCAGTAGAAGGGAATAATGGATTTTATTTCTAAAGCAGAGTTTCTGAAGTTCATCCTCTTTTAAAAATGCTCATTATTGACCTCCTACTTGAGACTGACTGAATTAGAACCTCTGAGTGTGACACCCAGGAAGTTTAACAGGTTTCTCTGAGGGCAAAGATGACACAGTGCTTTTGGCCATCCCCGTGAGCTGCTCAATTAAAACGTTCCCAGGAGAGACTCTAATGGGTCCTGACTGGGTGAAATGCTCATATGTTTGACAGAGGTTGTGTTGTTTGTTGTTGAGCATGGTGTCCCTTGATTGACAGCCCTGTTAAAATCACATTGATGGAAGTGAGGCAGCACCCCAAAGAAGGCGATGGTGGGAAGATAAAATGGATACCTGCTCTAAGAAGGTTCCAGAAGGAGACAGCAAGAGAGGGGAACATATTCACCACATTCAAAAACACTTAGCAAAAACAACAACAAAACAACAACAAATGTAATTATGTTTAAGTATTTTAAAAGATGCAACCAGCTGTTATTAACTGTGACTCAGTTTTGAAGAGGTTGAATTGTTCTAGTTTTGATGAACCAAAAGGGAGATGACAGGGAGGTGATTGCCAAGGACAAAAAGACACATTCTGCTTATTAAGGAAACAATGAGAAAGGAAAGCAAAGGTCCCCAGAGGCCATCTCCATTTTATGTACAAGCATCCCACATAAGGGGAAGGACTTGACTGGTGTCCTCCAAACATCACAGCATTTCTTCCTTCTTGTCCACTCTGCACCTCCCTCCTGTGTGCTTGCCCACATTACTAATTAGTTTCCTCCTCAAGTATGCTGAAGAATAAATAGTGTAGGCTAGTTAAAAATGCTCATTTGCTCCATAATTTCAGTTTCCTCTGTTTTTTCTTCCCAGTAATACTATTTTGTTATTGTTTGCAGTGTTTGATGAATACAAAAGGATATCACAGAAGGATATTGAACAGAGTATTAAATCTGAAACATCTGGTAGCTTTGAAGATGCTCTGCTGGCTATAGGTAAGCTGGTAGGGGGAGTAGAGAAACAAATGTCTATAGATTTTTCTTCTTATTATCAACTTGCAATATGGGGATATAGAATTATTTTCAGAGATAAAAGTTGTTTGAATCACTCATGGTACATTCCAGGTTTTTAAACAAGAAATATCATATACAACCTGATTGCTATTGTGCCACGTGGTTTATATATTTTATATCTTCTATGCTTTTGTATGTGCTATGTGAAAGGTAATAGTGTGCAGATAAACAAGCTGCAGCTTGCAAGTCTGTGAATGGCTAGAAACTAGTAACTGTCTCATATGGCAGATACAATAATCCTCATTTTGAAACGAAATACCACCCTTTGCTTTGATAGACTTTATCAATTACTTCTCCAGGAACTTGATAATAAATCGAGGGTACTTTCTATGTGTGAAAATACATAGAGCATAGCCTATGTTCATGAAACATTGCTTGGCTAAAATTTCCCTGGCAAAGCAAATATTGATACCTTGTAGAAACAGAGGAAACAACTGTCACTTTCCTTTTTTCATGGGTCTTATCTGTAATCTTTTCATTTCTTCTTTTTTTTTCTTTGACAGTAAAGTGCATGAGGAACAAATCTGCGTATTTTGCTGAAAAGCTCTATAAATCAATGAAGGTAAATGGCTTTATTTTTAGCATCTAAATGAATTTAAGTTATCTTGTGTCCACTTTCTTAAGCTTACTTATATCGCCTATCCAAACTTTGCTCTGAAAGATCCAATTCAATCCATCGAATACTTCAGTGAGTGCCTGCTAATAGTAATACTAGGTGATATTTACTGAGTACTTACGATGTGTGGATCACTGTTTTTAATAGATTAATTATATCCCCACAACAGCTCTATGAGGCTGGTACTATTACTAACCCCCAATTTACAGATGAGGAAACTGAGGCATAGAAAGGATATGCAGTTTGCCCAAGATTCTCAGTGAGGAAGTAATGGAGAATTACTGTTTACCTGGCATTCTAGCTCCAGAGCCCATATTCCTAACCCTCCATCGTACTCTGCAGGCACCTGTGCTGAGAATCACAGGAGGTGCAGGGAAGGTCAAAATGTAGTCTTTGGCCAGGTTCGGTGGCTCTTGTAATCCCAGCACTTTGGGAAGCTGAGGCGGGTGGATTACTTGAGGTCAGGAGTTCAAGACCAGCCTGGCTATCATGGTGAAATCCCTGTTTCTGCAAAAATACAAAACTTAGTCAAGTATGATGGCTCACACCTATAATCCCATCTGCTTGGGAGGCTGAGGCAGGAGAATCACTGGAACCCAGGAGGCAGAGGTTGCAGTGAGCTGAGATCGCACCACTGCACTCCAGCCTGGGTGACAGAGTAAGGCTCTGTCTCAAAAAAAATAAATAAATAAATAAAGCAAAACAAAACAAAAAAATAGAACTTGCTCTCAAAGAATGTCTAGCCTAGATAAGTATGTGCAAGACACCAATTATAACAAGATAGAATGTAAGACAGTAGTTGAGGATGCAAACATTGTAGAAACACAGAGAAAAGGATTTTTTTTTCCCAATATTTGTTTTCTGAGGTAGGGAATCTGCAAAGAATATATAAAGAAGTTGATACATTTGAGCAGGACCTTCCAAATGTAAAAGTTTTACATCAGAGGATTTCACATGGTGAGGGGAAGGGGTGATAAGGCTGGGGAGGGAAGGATAGTACTCTATGAGAAGGAATCATAGGTGAGCCAGGTGGCAGGGTATGTCTGGACAGCACAGGTTATGGCTCTAGAAAAGCAGGGAACAGCATCCTGTGGTCAGAACACATAGCACTGGAAAAGTGAGTTGTGGAGAGCCTTGAATACCATGATGAGGAGTGAGGATATTCCTCAGGACTGCCAAGCAGTGGAGCAGAGGACATCATCAGCACAGTCATCTCTAGTCTTGCTTTGGCAGACTAAAGAAGACACTGAAAAACAGCTAGGTTTTTGTATATGTTTGGATTTCGTTTTCTTCCTTAGGGCTTGGGCACCGATGATAACACCCTCATCAGAGTGATGGTTTCTCGAGCAGAAATTGACATGTTGGATATCCGGGCACACTTCAAGAGACTCTATGGAAAGTCTCTGTACTCGTTCATCAAGGTAGGTCACAGCAGCCTCAGTCCAGAGGAAAGGATCCAGAAAAGGACCCCTCTGACCTTGGCATTTAGCACTTGTCCCCTCTTCTTGGTATATATAATTTCCTTTAAAGATGATACTCCCGATATTTCCAGTCTCTCTTCTTTCACACAGATATTTAAACCTTTGCCAGGATACAAGCTGGAAATTTGCCTTCTAAATACAGTAATTATTTTATGTTGACCCCAGACAAAGATTACATTTTAATGAATACTTTTAAGCACACAATTTCCTCGTCTACCTAATTATGATAGAAGATAAACAACTGAATCCAGAGTCCTATGCAGGGCCAGCTGAGGTCTGCTGGGAACATGGAAAAGCATTTTTGTTATCCTGAATTACTGTTCTTTACCAGGCACCAGACTTCTAGGAGTCCTAAGAGGGGATGGTAGTGGTGAGAAATGATTCACCTCCCTCAAAGCTGGGATTTTGTTTCTTGAGGATGCCAGAAGAGTCTCATGCACATGAAAGTGAGACAGATTTCCCTAGCAGCTAAGGTTGCCTGCACTGCAAGCTTCAAATTAGCATTTGATCTGTGAATTAAATATTCTGAATCCTACTCAAAGCTTGGAGAGGTGTGACAATTAGGTGATTTAAACTGCAGATTTTTCTCTTTTTTTTTTTTTTTGAGATGGAGTCTCACTCTGTCACCCAGACTAGAGTGCAGTGGCACAATCTCCACTCACTGCAACCTCCACGTACTCGGTTCAAGTGATCCTCCTGCCTCAGCCTCCTGAGTAGCTGGGACTACAGGCATGAACTTTGTATTTTTTATAGAAATAGTGTTTCACTATTTTGGCCAGGCTGGTCTCGAACTCCTGACCTCAAGTGATCCACCCCTCGCGATCTCCCAAAGTGCTGGGATTACAGGCATGAGCCACCATGCCCCACCAAGCTGTGGATTTTGTTACTATGTCTGCAAGGCATGCAGGAACTTGTTTCTATGTCTGGCTAGGCTATTAGGTAACTTGATTTGGCAGAGCTGAATTGTATAACTAGTTTAAGATTCAAGGATGACAGTAAGTGAAGTTATGGGAAAATATACTATAAACAAGAAAAAAACAAAATAAAAAAACCCCAGGAAATGACAAATGATTTATGGATGATATGGAGAGACTAGAACTCTCATGCACCATTGGTAGGAGTGTAAAGTGGTGCAGCCACTGTGAAAAACAGTCTATTAAGAAACTTTAAGCACCAAACTTCTTCAAAAAGTTTAATATAGACTAGGCATTGTGGCTCACGCCTGTAATCCCAGCACTTTGGGAGACCGAGACAGGTAGATCACTTGAGCCCAGGAGTTCAAGACCAGCCTAGGCAACATAGTGAGACCCTGTCTCTACAAAAAATACAAAAATTAGCTGGGTGTGATGGTGCACGCCTGTAGTCCCAGCTACTCAGGAAGCTGAGGTGGGAGGATCACCTGAGGCTGGGGAGGTCGAGGCTACAGTGAGCCATGATTATACCACTTCAAGACTCCAGCCTAAGTAAAGACCCTTCCCAAAAAAGAAAAAGAAAAAATTTTAACATAGGATGACCACATGATCCAGCAATTCCACTCTCAGTTATATACTTAAATGAAAACAGGAACTCAAACAGCTAGTTGTACATCAACATAAACATTATTAACAATAGGCACAGGGTGAAAACAGCCTAAATATCTATCAACAGATGTCTAGATAAACAAAATATATATACATACATAAAAAGCAGTGACGTTCAATGGTAGGCTGTCATGAAAAAAGGAATAACATTTTTGATACATGAATGAACCTTGAAAATATACTAAGTGCAATAAATCAGACACAAAAGGACAAATATTGTATGATTCTGCTTTATGAAGTATGTAGAATAGGTAGATTCATAGGGACAGAAAGTAGATTAGAGGTTACCAGGAATTTGGAGGGACAGGAAAGAATGGGAGTTATTGGTTAGTGGGTACAGAGTTTCTGTTTGGGGTGATGAAAGGGTTTTAGAAATAGACAGTGATGATGGTTACATAACATTGTAAAAGGAACATTGAAAATGGTTAAAATGACAAATTGTATATATATATATTTGTTTTTACCACAATAAAATGTCTCCGAAAGAATTTAAATAAAACTATTTAATGAAATGTGAAAAGAGTAGACTGAGTATTATAATGCTTCATCACAGCATTATTTATATTATTTACATTGCTTTATGTTATTTATATTTATATCAATAATATGGTATTATAGTATATAATTTTATATTATTATTACTATTAATCAATAGGGAATAACTTATGGAAAATCCATACAATATAATACTATGCCAACACTAAAATGATTGAGTACAAATATATTGATTGGCTTGGGAAGAAAACACTATAATCTAGTGTATATATGTCTGTATATATAAATATGTAAATATATGTGTGTATACACACATACCACTAGAAAAGATTAAAAATAAAGGATACATTGCTCATTTAATAATAGTTGTCAAAAGAAACAAAAGACGCAGAATGGAAGCATAAAATATGTAAATAATAGAAAAAAATGACGAAAGATAAAAATAAAAGTTATAAAAATAAACTCTCAGGTTAGGTAAAAATGTAAAATCCAACTTCATGCTGTTTATAAGAAACAACTAAAATACAGTGACATGTAAAAAACCTAAAGAAAAACACCAGGGAAAGAAAGCGGACATATAAGAAGGAAAGTGGAGATTATGCTATTAGTAAAAAGAAGAATTTAAGGAGAAAAAGTATTAAATAGGAGAGAGTGGATCACTTTATACTGACAAAGGCAACAATTCACAGCAAAGATTAAACTGTTACGAAACTTCAAGTACCAAATCATATTGCATTGAAATGTATAAATAAGAAACTTGAGGCTCCAGAAGAAAACATATAATGGAATTACTATGCTAGTGAGAAACTTTAATACATCCTATGCTTTGGCAGATCAGTAAGGCAAAGTATAAACAAGGATATATTAAGATTGAGCTTAACAGATATTTATTAAACTTTGAACCCTTTATACAGAGATTCCATCTTTTCTAGTCCCCACGAATGACTAATAAAAATTAATCTAGGCCAGGTGCAGTGGCTCACACCTATAATCCCAGCATTTTGGGAAGCTGAGGTGGGAGGATCGCCTGAGCCCAGGAGTTCGAGGCTGCAGTGAGCAATGACCACACTACTGTACTCCAGCCTGGGTGATATAGCAAGACCCTGTCTCTAAAAATAAAATATAAATAAATAAATAAAAGATTAAAAAATTAATCAATTATTATGACCACTAAAATTTCTATGTAGAAATTATAGAACCTTTCTGGAAGACTGTTTTGTAACCCATATCAAAATGTTTAAGAAAACAGGTTGGGTGTAGTGGCTCACACCAGTAATCCTAGTACTTTGGGAGGCTGAGGTGGGTGGATCACTTGAGGTCAGGACTTCAAGACCAACTTGGCCAACATGGTGAAACCCCATCTCTATTAAAAATATAAAAATTAGCCAGGCATGGTGGTGTGCACCTGTAGTGCCAGCTACACAGGCAGCTGAGGCAGGAGAATCACTTGAACCTGGGAGGCGGAGGTTGCAGTGAGCCAAGATTGCACCACTGCACTCTAGCCTGGGCCACAGAACGAGACTCCGTCCCAAAAAAAAAAAAAAAAAAGGTTTAAGAAAATGCGTTTAGTCCAGTAATTCCTATTTTGTGAAAATTTATCCAGAATAGATCATTAAGAAAATATACAAAAATATAACTACAATATGCTTATTGAAGCAGTGTTTATAATAGTGAAAAATTGAAACAGCATAAATATCCAACAATAGGGAGAGGGAGGATGTGATTAAATAAATGATTTTACCTGCATACAATGGGATATTCTGTAACCATTAAATAATGTTGTAGAATAATATTTAACAAAATAGGCATCTGGCACAGTGGCTCACCCCTGTAATCCCAGCACTTTGGGAGGCCGAGGTGGGTGGATCACGAGGTCAGGAGATCGAGACCATCCTGGCTAACATGGTGAAACCCCGTCTCTACTAAAAATACAAAAATAAAAGCTGGGCATGGTGGCGGGCGCCTGTAGTCCCAGCTACTCTGGAGACTGAGGTAGGAGAATGGCGTGAACCCGGGAGGCGGAGCTTGCAGTGAGCTGAGATCACGCCACTGCACTCCAGCCTGGGCGACAGAATGAGACTCCATCTCAAAAAAAAAAAAAAAAAAATTAACAAAATAGGGAAATAGGCTATATTGTTAAGTGAAAAAGCAGAACACAGACTACTACTGTTCTATCACACTGGGTATCTAGATACATAGAAAAAAGACTGGAAAGACATTCACACATCAAAATGATAAGAATAGTAGTCTCTAGATGATGGAATAATGGTTGATTTTTGTGTTCTTTTTTGTCTTTATTTTCTACACTGAATGAGTATTACCTTTGTAATAAAAAATAACAAAAAAAAGATTTAAAGCTAAGAAAAATCCAGCCAAGCTTGAAAAAGTTGGCTTAGATGATTTTGAACTGTGTGTTTTGTTTCAAAATCTATTTATCTAACTTTGCTTCCCTATCCAACAGGGTGACACATCCGGAGACTACAGGAAAGTACTGCTTGTTCTCTGTGGAGGAGATGATTAAAATAAAAATCCCAGAAGGACAGGAGGATCCTCAACACTTTGAATTTTTTTAACTTCATTTTTCTACACTGCTATTATCATAATCTCAGAATGCTTATTTCCAATTAAAACGCCTACAGCTGCCTCCTAGGATATAGACTGTCTGTATTATTATTTGCCTATAATTAGTCATTATGGTGCTTTAAAGCTGTACTTGCATTTCAAAGCTTATAAGACATAAATGGAGATTTAAAAATAGAAATAAAAATGTATTCCATGTTTTTAAAAGATTACTTTATACTTTGTGTTTCACAGACATTGAATATATTAAATTATTCCATATTTTCTTTTCAGTGAAAAATTTTTTAAATGGAAAACTGTTCTAAAATCACTTTTTCCCCTAATCTAATTTTTAGAGTAGCTAGTATTTTCTTCATTTGAAATTGTAAGCATCTGGTTAGTAAGAACGCACATCCAGTTTTCTACATTTCATAGTCAAAGCCTTGAAAGCATCTACAAATCTCTTTTTTTAGGTTTTGTCCATAGCATTAGTTGATCCTTACTAAGTTTTTCATGGGAGACTTCCTTCATCACATCTTATGTTGAAACCACTTTCTGTAGTCAAAGTATACCAAAACCAATTTATCTGAACAAACTAAATTCTAAAGTATGGTTATACAAACCATATACATCTGGTTACCAAACATAAATGCCGAACATTCCATATTATTATAGTTAATGTCTTAATCCAGCTTGCAAGTGAATGGAGAAAACAAATAAGCTTCAAACTAGGTATTCTGGGAATTATGTAGTGTTCTGAATTTAGTTTGATATAAAGAAAACTTTTTTGTGCTAAAAATACTTTTTAAAATCTTTTTCAATTTTGTTGATTGTAGTAATTTCTGTTTGCACTGTGCCTTTCAACTCTAGAAACATTCTGAAGATGTACTTTGATTTAATTAAAAAGTTCACTTTGTATGAACGTGGAAAAATAATTTTAATTTTAAAATGGTGTCTTTAGGCTGGGGGCAGTGGCTCATGCCAGTAATCCCAGCACTTCGGGAGGCCAAGGTGGGTGGATTACCTGAGGTCAGGAATTCAAGACCAGCCTGGCCAACATGGAGAAACCGCATCTCTACTAAAAATACAAAAATTAGCTGGCTGTGGTGGCAGGTGCCTGTAATCCCAGCCACTCAGGAGGCTGAGTCAGGGAGAATTGCTTGAACCCAGGAGGCAGGAGGCGAAGGTTGCAGTGAGCCGAGATCACGGCAGCCTGGGCGACAGAGCGAGAAACCAAATCTTAAAGGGATGGGGAGGGGAGTGTCTTTAAAATGAGGTATAGTCTTTCTCTGATCCACTTTTCACCGTCTGAGGTTTTTCATCCTGACCCCTGAAAGGAGCTATTTTTGAAGGACTTGTGTTACTCAGTTTCTATAGGAATTAAAATATAAGAAAAAAAAATCACATATTTAGTCTTATGTGTGCCTACTGGCTAATGTTCACATATGCCAAACACTACTCAATATCATAAAATAATGTATGAACTTATTCTCTGGAAATGAGTGATGCTGTCTGCTCTAAGTAGACCGTTTATATTAAATATCATAAATGTATAAAAGACATTTATATTCACAGCTACTGGTAGAAGCTACTTTTGTGAATATTTAGTCACTCCAGTTACTTACAGGAAATAATACTGCCATTTCAATGCCTTTCCAGAAGACCACAGAATCTCCAAATCAGCTTTATTTTGTCTTTGGAAGCATGGGGAATTTTTTGGTAGAAGTTTTATGTTTAAATGATACATAGGTTGGCCAAAATTTTAAAACAAATGGCATTTATTCACCAGAAGATTTCCAGAAGGTAGGATAACTTTCCTGGAGGAAAGTTTGTCATATTGAATTAGCATGACTTTGAAATATAATTATGAAGTAACTTTGTTTTTCCCTCCCACTGTCCACTGACATTTATTCAGCGGGCCTAGTTCTTTTAGATGTAGATTCAGATAGAGAATAGAGTCATAACTTTTCTGTTCACTCTTAGGTTTTAAAGTCCTACTGTGTAGTCCCTTAAGGTCATAAAACAGTGTCATTTTAGTAAGCAATATATCCAGTCAAAATTCCAAGCTTGATTTATAGTTGAGGCTTCTTCCCTCACTTACTTCTGGCTTACTGCCAGTAGGAAGCTGGTTTCTGGGGAAAGGGTGACCATGAGTTTCTCTTCTTTTTCCACCTAGGTTTCCTTCCACGTTCTTCCCCTGCCCCAACCTACCATGTCTGGGCTGTAGCAGAGCAGAGAGTTAAGGGGAGCAGGAAAGCTGTTACCTGACTGTCATTGCTGTAGTGGTAGAGGATCAGCCCTGCGTGACTCTGACAGACTAAAGTTGATTCTTGTGGGTTCCTTTGTCGACCTCATCATGCTACTCACCTGCGCTTCCTTTGGCAAGGCAAATGTGTACTCCTTTTTCAGCCTCTAGGAATTTGGTGACTCTGAGGTTCTCAGTGCTGAAGTTCATTGCTTTCCTCCCAGACCTGTTGGGCAGGACCTAAGATGATCCCATCCCAGCTATCTCATGGTGGTCCACATCTGCTCCATGGGAAACACCTGCACGTTCTTTGCGCTGGCAAATTCTGTGTATGCAAGCTGATCCCTCTGCAGCCATCATTCTCCGCCTCCCACCTCCACCCCAAGCTGCCTTGGCTAGCCTCTCTCAGTTCAGATTTCTCATACATGAATCAGACATTAGTCCACTGGGGCCCTCAAACTACGTATACTGCCGATGGGAGTCTAAATTGGTACATTGATGCAATCAACCCAGAGAGCAATTTAGTAATAGCTAACAAAGTTGCAAATTTCCCAGCAAATTAACTTCTGGGAATCGGCTTGGCGAATCCATTGCACATGATGTTCATTGCTGCTCTGTAAGGCCGTTAAAGTAGAAATAACCTCTCTCACTAAGGAATGTAAAAGCAAATATGGTTCAGTCATTCAATGAGCAGTGAAAATTATCTAGCAATTGACCAAATGGACAAATCTCGAGAGTATAATTTTGAGAGGAGAAAGGTGCACAGTGAGAGGTACAGCTATGATTCCGTTCCATGATATGTCTAAACATGCAAAAGAAAATATTTATGGGTACGCATACAAGGACATACATGGACAGTGATATACAACATTCTCAGCACAGTGATTGCCACTGGGGAGGGAGAGGTACACAGGGGCTTCTGCCTATCTGTATTGTTCTATTTAAAAAGAATGAATCATTGATTACACCTCAATAAAGCGGAGAGGAAAAAAAGAATGAAACCAAGTATGATAAAATTTCAAGCTAGTGGTGGGTCCACAGGAGAAATATTTTTATTATTTTACTTAAAAAGTAACAGAAGGGAATCAGGGAGTGAACGCTCGCTGTCCGGAGTCCATCAGAAGAGCAGCTCCTCCAGGCAGACACTTGTCAATTTTGCTAGGGCCTCCTGAAGGCACTTTTTTGAGTACGGACAGTCATGGTGCCAGACCCTATTCGGACATCCCACTGGCACTTGATAGGAAAGAAAAGGAGTGCCGGGAACGTTCCCGTAACTTAATGGGTTCCTTTCACGTCTACAGCAGGGTAGGGCTCCTGTTAAGGAAGACCAGGAATCCAGCATAGCGCCTCATCCTAGGGCCCCTCTCACAGGAGGCCACGCCCAACAAAGCAGAGCGCGGCCCCAGCAAGCGCCGAGCTCCCGCAAGGAGACCAAATAGCTTCGGTGTTTTGCCACTTCCTTAGCACAGGCCCATAAGCACCTGGGGCTCAAGGCACCTTTGTAGAAAGAATGCGTGACTGAAGTCCCAAGTCTTGCCACTACAAAGGCGTGTGTGAACTACGGCTTAACACTGTGTCTACGCCTAAGTTCAGGTTAGTAGGAGGCCAGGCCCCCAGCAGGCCAGAAAACACCGGCCCATACCGGCGCGCCAGGTTCTGCGCAGGCTCCACCTGCCACGCACGCACGCCTGCCTTGCCCCGCCCCTTCCGGAGGCTCGCCACACGCATGCGCCCGCCGGCCCGCGCTTTGTTGCGAAAGCGAGGGGGCGAGGTCCTGCGGTGCTAGCGCGCGGAGCGACCAAAAACTGCGGGCGGGGCGGAGGATGGAGGCTGTAGCGTCCGCTGCAACGGTTGGGGCTGCGCGTGAGAAGGTGGCGGTGTAGGCATCTGCGCTCGGGGAAGGCTGGCGGCGGCGGCCGGGCCATGGCGGGAGACCCCCTTCTCTGGGCTCCCTGAAGTCTCGGGGAGCCGTGACCCATGGGATCGTTGAGCAGCCGGGTGCTGCGCCAGCCAAGACGAGCCCTTGCCCAGCAGGCGCAGGGTGCCAGGGCGGGGGGCTCGGCCTGGAGGCCGGACACTGGAGACGATGCGGCGGGCCACGGCTTCTGTTACTGTCCGGGCAGCCACAAGCGCAAGCGGAGCAGCGGGGCCTTCTGCTACTGTCACCCTGACTCGGAGACAGACGAGGATGAGGAGGAGGGGGACGAGCAGCAGCGGCTCCTCAACACCCCTCGAAGGTACGTGGGGGCACGCACCCGCGCGTACCCGGACCCGCACCTGTTGGGCCTGGGGCCAAGCCGGCGCCCCGTGCGCTTGCGGGGTGCAGCGCTCCCCAGCCTATGGAGAGGGGTCGTGCCCTTGACAAGTGAATGTGGAAGCCGGCCCGATGCCGGGCGGACGGGGGAGCGCCTTGGGAGACGCCTGGTGTTCTGCCTTTTTAACCACAGACGCTTCCAGGGTGTTGTTACAGCCCCAAGATGAGGATAAGAAACGCCAAGCCCGAGCTCGCGTCTCGTTAAACCTTAGAGACGCCCGGCTGGCTGGCCTTCCCAGTCCACCTTTGCCCTCTCAAGTGGGTAGCCGCAGACTAAGTTGTTTTGCATCCGGTTGCCTTAGTACAGACACTAAATGTAATCTCTGAAATGGGTACTCTTACTGTCGCCCACTCAGTGGAGGGGAAATAATTGCACACAGGAGTTCTCGTTAATCGTAAAGGTGAAGTTTATCAATAGTGTACATTTGTTCCTAACCAGGAACAGAGTTCGTACAAGTTTCTAGTAGTTGAAGTCGTTGACCGTGGATGTACTGTATGTAGGGCGGTGCTGCTGCAGCTTGCTTAACCTTTTTTTTTTTTTTTTTAATGAGTTGAAAGATGGAATATTGACTTGTGACCTGGAATTAGAATGTAGTTTATAGGTAGAATATATTCTTATACAAACAATTTGGTTTTTCTGCTTTTGTTTTTAAAGGTGATTTGGTAGGGTCACAGATGAAATTTTTTTAATGATTTCTTTTTCTGTTTTTATTTTTCAGACAGAGCCTTGCTCTGTCACCCAGGCCGGAATGCAGTGGTGCGATCTCAACTCACTGCAACCTCCACTTCCTGGTTCAAGCGATTCTTGTGCCTCAGCCTCCCGAGTAGCTGGGACTACAGACACGCACCACCACGCCTGGCTAATGTTTTCTACTTTTAGTAGAGACAGGTTTCATCATGTTGGCCAAGCTTGTCTCAAACTCCCAACCTCAGGTGATCTGCTGGCCTCATCCTCCCAAAGTGCTGGAATTATAGGTGTGAGCCACTGCGCACCCGGCGTAAAATTAAACTTTATGAGCAGATTCAAAAAGGTTTTGCTATACAAGTGTAACATATTGTAAAACAGGAATCATAGATTAAAAACTTAATAGTTTGGTTTATAAAACCTTTTGTACTGTTTTTTAATGAATATTTTTATTTATTTACAAAAATGGACCCCTACTGTGAATACTATTCAGTAACTTTTTTTGTTGTTTATTTGATTTTTGGAGTTTTTTTCTAAAGAGACAGGGGTCTCACTATATCGCCCAGGCTGGTCTCAAATGCCTGGGCTGAAGCGATCCTCCCACCTCAGCCTCCCAAAGTGCTCAGAATACAGGTGTGAGCCACCATGCGTGACTCTGTAACCTTTTTGAAGAG